ATTTTAAACTTAGGCAATTCCCTGGAGAAAAATTACATCTCTGCTTGTTGATCTGTCTTTGTTTCCCCAGCTTTACTGAGCATCTGTGGATGAGAATTAGTGTGTGCTTTGCATATACAACATCACACACCGTTCTGGTTCCCATTAGCAGTGAACGGTCTACTAAAAATTACTGAAAAGGAATACAGTAAGATGAAAAGTTGGAGAACCTATAAACAAGTGCTCTTGCTACAGGTAACAGGTTGGTGCACAAATAACCAAAGCTCTGGCAGAAAAATTATCTAAGTGTAAAGCTTTCCTTAGACTTCACACAGCTGTAAATCTGGTCCAGGAGGAAAGTCCGGAAAGCAGTTTCCCCTAGCACTTGTTAGGCATTCAGTTAAACACAGAATTTGAGCACATACTTTGACTACATAATTAAGGCTAACCAAAATCACTTGGATTTAAGCATACTTCCTTACAGTTAAGCAGGTGCTTAAGTGATGAAAGGACCAGCAACAAAACCAAGAGCATTTCAAGGCTGATGATGCTGGGAGCAGGCTCTGCTGATGTTGTTTGGACATCTGCAGTAGGTAAGGAAGCAAATTACAGATGCATTGACCTCTGGCTAGCCTTCCTCTTGTTATCCATTTAAAAGGAAGACTCATGCTAGGCAGAATTTGTCCAGATGGGTCACTCCTGTTCCCTGATGCCATCAGCTGTACAGTGAGTGCTACTAGAGAAAGACTTCTGGACATTGACATAGGATAGATTAAAACCAGTAACAAAGTTCCTCCTCTCTCTTAAGTATAGTAAGATTCAGGGTGATAATTTTTCTGAAACTACATCTCTTCTCATTTTTCTCCGTATCTCTGGCAGACATTTCACCAAGAAAGTTATAAATGCACTTGAAGTTTTCCAGATCAGTTTCCATTACGATTTTCTTAGTGCTTGCATCTGAAAAATATCTGTCACATACCTTCAAATGCACATTGATGAACGAAGGACTTTTGTTATGTTCCTCAGTCCATCACATTCTCTTTGTGGGTATATTTTTGAAATCAGAGAAGATACAAGCACAGGAGCATCCACAGCTATTCATTGCCTCTGTACTTAACATAGCAGCATAATTTAAGGGAAATGGGTGGAAGAGCTTGCAAATGCCCTAGTCTATGTTGTTATCAGAGTGAATCCCAGTCTCCCTGCTGCAAAATCCTTTTGCATTTTCAATGGGAAGAGGTGTGGAAACCAGGTGTGTCCCACATCTTCTGGTTGCAGTATGCCATCAATATTTATAATGGCCTCTGTATGTATGTCTATAATTGCCTATTAGCAATTCAGCAGAAATAGTTTTTCTATGATGACTAATCCTGCAACAATGAAGTAAAGCATACAGGCTAGCATTTGTGAACAATCCGCCCAAGATACTATGCTTTTAATTATCAGCCATCAGAGAATCTTCTTAATTTACCATCACCTATACTCTTCAAATCAAAACTGAATCCCTCTAAGAAACCTGTTCCAGTTCAAGTACAGGCATTCAGGCTAAACTATCTGACAAAGTTTGCCAGTGTGTTGTGTCAACTGCACGATCATAAATTATAATTTCCAACTCTGACAATCTACTGTAAAATTTCTGTTTCTAAAATTTCACTTGTACAATTAGGAAAAAAATTGTGCAAATTAAAACAGAGAGTAGGATGGAAATGACAAAGAAATTGTTTTAACTCTTTGAGGAGTTCTAATACTTTTTTTTTCTAATATCAACAGTAGCTAGAGAGAAAAACTCCCTTTACTCCATGCCTGTTTTCCCTGCCAGCTGTTGTCTCAGATATTTCCACTATTAGCTTTTCAGGGCAAAGCATCTGTCTATTCTGAGCTTTCCATATAATATTTTGCCCTGTGAGCATTTTGGTTAAGAATAGCAGTCACTGCAAAACAAAGAGGAAACAAGTCCGCAACAAACATTTTTTAATTTATACACTGTCCTCTGTGCACTGACACAGAAAAATGCTTTACCCTTCAGCTTCCTGCCAACTCCTTCTCACCCCTTTCTCACACCCTTACTCCCAATAATTGGTCTGTGCAAGACTTTTTTTTATTTGAGCATTAAACTGGTCTTTTTCTGAATTAAAACCTGTGGCTTAAAGACAGGGAAGATGATGCTTTAAGGACTCCACTGCTATATGGAATGAATGGGCAGCAAAGATAGGTTTGTGGGTCTAATGCTTAATGAGAAGGAATAAAAGGCAGCTTACAACTAGTGGTACCTACATAGCTCATTAGTGAGTATTATTTCAATCTTTCTAACCGGTAAAACTTAAATCTATTTGGGAGATTGAGATGAAATTCTCACCTACTCATGAAGGAGCTGTGCAGTGGGGGTCTGGAGGGCATTTAAGTGAAAACTAGTGGCTAACTTAAAAGGAGGCTTCTGTCATGCTCTGAAAACAGTAGTGGTCCTTAAACGCCAGGCTAACAGGAGAGAGATTTCTCTGCACAGATCACAGTTAGAATTCTGCTTTTCTACTTACATTTACTTTGGGATATTTTCATTTTACCTACACTTGCAGCAGATGTTTGTTTTGTTTCCCTTCTCTTCCCTATCCTAGGGTTTTCCCAAGTCAGAACAAGAATGTCATGCTGTTGAACCTCGCATTTCTACAGTGATCGGGGATGAGTGGAGCAAGCTTGCTTGACCTGTACAGGTTTTAGCTCAATGCGTCTACATCTATGCAGTTCCCAAATGGCTCATTAGCATGTCTTCTCATTTTACCTTGTTTGAAATGAAGGCTATAATAGATTGTTCATTTTTTCTTGTGGAACAAGTACTTCTTTCCCTTTGTAGAGTATCCAGGGATATCTTCATTGTCAAGGTGGGTAATTCTTTGTCATTCACTTTATACCAACAATGAGCTCAAACAGTTACAAACACTATGTGGTACATGTTATTGTGATGCTTGGTGAGCTGGCAGTACTGTATGAATGTCTTGGCTACTCTGCATAATAATACCCATGGAACAAATACAGGAGTAATTCAGTGCTCCAACAAAGATCCCTCATCCTGCCTCTCTGTGAACTAGTAGAGTTGTAATTTTGGTATTATTTAAACAAGTCTTTACAGGACAAGATCAAACACTCTAACAGCATTTCCTTCTTTCTGCAGGGAAAGGAGGATTTACCACTATTTCATAATGACAAGTGAGCACACAGCTTCTGCCCTTGAAATAGTTGTGAACCAGTTGTCACAACCTTGCTGCCCTTCTTCCACCCTTGCCCCCTTTTTCCTATGACTGTTCCCCCATTTTACATCCAACTGTGCTCCAGACAAAGAAGACATGAAGACTCAAGAAAAGGAGGACTCTGCTAATATATGACCATTGTTTTAAAGGGGCCTTAAAATCCTTCTCCAGGATAAGGTTATTTCACTTCTTTTAGTCTTTTTAAGCAGCAGTTCAGGACATAGTGCTGAACTGGGCATTTGAGAGACATGCTTTCAAACTAAAAGAACATAGTAGTGGTTTTCATTTCTTAAATAAAGTATTATTATGACCACAGAAACACTATGGACATTAAATAATATATTTCATGAGACCAAAATGATACAGCAGTTGTCCTTTTTTATGCATGTTAACAAAATCCACCGCTTGCTGGTACGTACAGCTTGCTTCAGGTAGGAGGCCTAAATTGTTTTGAGAACAGGTAATATTTGCATTACTGAGTGACATGTTCTTGCCTGAGCACAGCTTAGACTGAGAAGCAGGAAATTTTATCCCATTTCTATCTAAACGGAAAAGTATCAGCTAGTTTCAGGCCACTAGAAGGCAGAAACTCCTGTGCTCAAACAATACCATATGAGCAATCTAGACTATGGTCCTAGACCAGTCATTCAACAACCAGCTCTTTTGCCACGAATGTCCATGGCAAAACGTTCATTGGCATTAATTTAAACTAATGTTAAAAACAAATCACCTTTTAACACTCTTCCTGCAACAAGTTTTTAACACAACATTATTAGAAGATTCTGCCTCTTTCTGTGATTTCCCAAAGGAATCTGCAGTCAAGATCATGCAAAGACAGCGCTCTGCTCCACCCACTGAGTAATTTTAATTCACTGAGTCAGTTACAAGTTGGAAGGGTAAAATGAACAGAAAGACACCTGCTTCTAACCCACAGTATATATATACGACTTCTGGTTTTCTAACTGGAGGCAAATACTTTAGTGGGTGGAGCTGTGAATAAAGCCCTGTTGGGCCCAAGTATTCCATATTCTGGGCCATTTTAAACTCAATGGGTGGCACCTATTAATTCTTAATTAAGCCTGGAAATTCTTGTCTGGCAACAAATGAAAAAACAAGCTTACTTTGATGTACAGACTAGAGGCAAGAGATGAAGTTCTACAGTTTATATGTGTACTTTGGGTGTACTTATGTACAAAAAAAGATCTTCAGAGCCAATGTGGTGTAGTTATACCAGCATAAAACACTACCGCTTATCCAAGCCTAGAGAAATCAAAAGAAATTATTTCAGAGGATTTTGGCTTAGATCTTGCAATGTTAAAATACTAAGACTCTCAAACTGTCTACACTGTAAACTCCCAACACATCATACAGATAATGTGTTCTACCTTTAAATGAGCAAACTTGAATAATGGAGGCAGCCTAGCCATGACAGTATGGAGCTCAGCACTGGGTGTCGTTATTCCTCTCCAAGCTAATCATCTTCTAATACAACAGAAAGTTCTGTATTTCATCAAAAAGAACCTCTCTGCCACTTCATTGTAGATTGTCCAGACCTCTTAGAAAACACTGGCCTTCAAAGAGTTTCAAAGCAATTATCAAATTATTCCATTAAAATAATAATAGCCCCTG